ACATGGAAATAATAAAGAAAAAGGAAAAGAGAAAGAAAACTATGAAGCTTGGACCAAGGAGGATTCCGATGAATTGTTACAATTGATAGTGGATACTATAAAAAGATGATAGAATATTATGGAGAATTATTATTATTATTTATCTAGACATTATTGTTTTTTTAATTATTTTTATCTTTGACTCTTTTTAAATTTGAATGTATGAATTTTTTTTTAAATCTTATCAAATGTCAAAACTCCACAAAATCCCACAGAATCCATTAAAATCCTGATTTAAAAGTCTTGTAGAATCCATTAAAATCCTAATTTTAAATCTTGTAGAATCCTGCAAAATCTTAAAAGTCGTGAAAATCCTGCAAAGTCTTTTAAAATCCGCAGGATTTTTTTTCACTAAAAAAGTCCTTTAAAATCCTAATCCAATATAGAACCGTTTTTAAGAGTTTTTTTTGCTAAAAGTAAAATATAATTTTATTAAAAAAATTTAATAAATACTTCTAAATTTGTACATAAACAAATTCTTAATCATTTTAAGTAAAGATACTCGTGAGTTTGAATTTTAAATGGAAGAGAAAGAGAGATGTCACTGGTCAACTAAATTTTTTGATTAAAGTTAAACATTTACATAATTAGTGAGTTCTTCATATAAATATAATATAATTAAAAAATGTTGTGCATTTGATGCATTAGTTAAGAGAGTTAATTTTGTATGAAAATTGCACACTTCCTGATCTCGTACATGATGTGACTAGATATACTTCTATACACACGTAAAGTTTTTAATCTTTAAATAGTAATAAATTATATGCGTAATTATTTGTATAAACAGGTGTGCATGGGATGAATTATTAACTTGTTGATTTCTTAATCATCATCTTAAAGATGTATTTATCTTTTCGATCGGTGTATTACTCCTAAAGATATATATAGGATAGGCTAGCTTGGCACGTTGTATTCTCTACTTTCGTGGTATTTCATAATATGTTCTAAGCAATGACGTGAAACCTGTCCATTCCTATTGCACAAATTTATAGGCGTGGGGACGAGGGTTACACACTTGCACAAGTCAATTTTTCAGTTGTATATTCCTTCAATGACTGCTTAATTGATTGCTGTACCCAGTCAACACACACACAGATAGGTATTAAACAATATGCATGATCAATTGCAATTATTTGATCAGATAAGATTACCGTTATCAGCTACAAGTTGGTGTTGAAAGTAAAATTGAATTCGATTTTCTTACCCGAGAGTTAATTTTCTATAGAATTAAAAGGAAGGAGAGGAATTAGCATAAGATTACAAAAAAATTGTAGAAGAGGATTTAAATGAATTTGAAGAGATAAATTTTTAGTTGTTAACTTTAAAATATTATATGAATTATGTTTATAAATAAAATAAAAATAAATTTTAGGTATTGTTGTGAGACTAAAAAATAATTAATTTCACTCTCAAATATAACTAGATTTGCATGAAATTATTTTACATGAAAGACATTGATTACAAAAATGATATACATCCATATTCAATTATGGATTTTCTATTTTGAAATCATCGTGGATTATGGTGTTCATAATTAATTAAGATTTCAAAACAAACAAAACTCTTAATCATATGGATGACACACATTTCTATGGTTTAAACTCTCTATCTTTCAATATATAAATAGATAGAAGAATATTAACATATTCTCACCTTTTTTTTCTTAGAATATGTTAGTAATCTACACCATAATTTTGGAATAAGAAACACTCTCATTTCTTTTAATTTAATTAATTTGTATAAAGAATATTATAGTAATTTTTTCTTTTAAAAGAAAAAAAAAATATTTTCTCTCTCCTATTAACTTCATTCTTTAACTCATTTCTCTCTTCTCTCATCTCTTACCTTTGACTATGTCCCCTCTCTTTGAACAAATAAATTACTTTCTCTTAATTAATTGTCGTCATAGGACTTGCTAAGGTGACAGGCAAAGTGTTGAGGATGGACATAGTGGAAAGGTGTTCATATATATATATATATAGAGAGAGAGAGGGATCCACTTATA